ATTTTCAAAAATTAATTTCTTATTATTAACCCTAAAACTACTAACTAGATATCTATACCCCAGGTAAACTTAAATTAAATGAAGTTTAAACTTTAGTAAAATTGAATTTACTCTTCACCATGAAAAAAAACAAATGCATGAAAAGAAAACAACAAAATTCATATACTTAAAAGTCTGATTATTGTTATTAGAACAGTTTTTAAGATTAGAAAACCTTTGGGGAAAATATATATAGCCCAGTTTGTAGTTTGAATGTTTAAAAAATAAGTTTGTAATTCTATGGTTAAACTATGTTTATCTGTTATTGTTTCAAAATAATAATTTTTGGCGTACATCACCATCATCACCACCAAGCACGTATACTGAGACCACTTTTTGTTGTTTTTTCTTCTTGCATTTAAGCATCCTCGTGTTTTTCTTTTCACAAAACTCAGAAAGATACGCGATTCCGAAGTTAAGAGACAAATATTTTATCATCGACACTTCAAGGAACATATATAAAGACTGCACATCAGACGATCAAGGTATTCTTGACGATATTTGCAATGAAAGGAAATTAAAAGACAGGAGTTTCTTATTTTTTTCAAGTTGATACCAGGTCAATAGGTGATAATCATTTGCGTATACTCGTTATGCTGATTTATGAAAATTTATGGATACGTATTTCGTCATTTCCGATGTCAAACGTAACAAAATCAAACAATCAATTATTCAAGACTAATTCGATTAAAAAAACAATAAAGATTCATTGTATAAAAAAAAATCCTTTAAGTTATATTTTATTATTAAATTTATATTAGAGACTGCTTGCTGCAAGTACTTTACTGGATCTATGATTAAAAAAAAAAAAAACACAAGTAATATATCCGGATATATGTTTGTGACATTAATATGAAGTAACTGGAATTAATGATAATTATTTATGTTCAATGAATATTCGATCGGGTCGGGTATGGAAATACCGGATATTGCATGGAAATTACCATTTAATTTAATATGTTTTTCATCCGGATTATCAAACAAAGAAAATACAATTATATGAATAACGATAAATATGATATTTAGAATGGATTTTTATTTCGTTCAAAAAAAATCATCGTATCGATCTAAATGATTTTCCGTACGTGATCAGTATGATTTCGAGCCAAGGTAAACCTTATATATTTTTATGGCATATGATGAAAAGAGAACGAAAAGCAACGACTTTGTTGAATTGGCACAAGGCTAAACGTCTACTAATGGTAATTAATAGAAGCAAAGATCTACGCTATCACATCCAGAGTTAATAGTTGTGTAAATGAGCAAAAAATCCAAAAATTACTATAATCTTCTCGTAGGATATCCTTCGTATTATGGATTTTTATTTTTTGTTTGTTTGTTTACTATCATACTACACGTGTATCCAATTTACAAAATTCATTTGCATTGAATTATATCATCCTAACGTGAATAATCAACAATTGAAATGTGCCGATCGATGAGGAAACGAATTTGCATTATTGTTAAAAACAAATCTTAAATAATCGAAAACTATAAGCTACGAGATTGCACGTTTAATTCTTTTGAAAGTAGTAAAATATTAATTATTATATTAGATCGATAAAATAAATCAATATAGAAAAATAATAATCAATCGTATAACTGATGCAACGATTTTCTTACTAGACAAAAATTATCATAATTAGTTTATGATATATATATATATATATTATTAAAAAATATTTTTAGATATAAAATGATCGTTGATTTTCGTTCCTGGTAATTAATTTGTATTTTAATAATACGTTTTGATGAGTTAATTATTTTTTTTTGTTTCTCTCTCTCTTTACCAAAAAAAAAAATTTAATTATTGATTTAATTATACTTAGAATTGATTTTTTTGATTTGGATTTAATGAGCCATAGACACGGACGAAGGAACTTTGCTCTCGCATCGGAACGTTGCAGATATTTTTGACTATGTCAGCTTTCAACGACGAAATACGATTCGTGCACGTGGAAAAGACGAAGAGAAAACTTTGTCACGTGGCAATTTGCCAATCGTAAAGGAATATAAATGATTTTCCTCTATCTCTTTCTTTCTTTCTTTCTTTATTTCTTTCTTTCTATTTTGTTAATCTTTTCTCTAATCGTTCTTACAAATAATCTATATTTCCTAATTTCATTTTTTATTATTTTCTTTAAAAGAAAAAATGATACGCGTATACGTAAAAAAGAATTTTTTTTATTGATAAAAATCCACGATATCGAATAATTCAGTGAACGATAATTTTTATCATAAGTATTAACATTTACATTGATGTTAACAGTGTGTGTAGTAGACACACACATTTACGGATATTAACGATACACTAAACATACTATGTAGGTATGTATAGTATATATTTTTCTGTAAATACTAAAATAAAATAAAATAAAAATAAATGTTTCTCTTTTATGTTGTAATACGAAAGCACGTATAATAATTTTAAGAAATTTCGCGATACCGAGCAACAAAATGATAACGTGAAAGTACAATTTGAATCGCAATTTCGTGAATTGTAATTACGGTGAAAACAAACGTACGCGTATAGAAAATTGGCACGTTCAATTGGCAATAAAAGTTTCGAAGAAGTATCGTTTAAAAAAATTGGATTTTTCCGTAAAGAAAAAAAAAGAAAATTTCGAATGAATCTCACCGCTACGAAAAATATATATATGTAACACGTGAAAAAATATAACACACATATAGACACACACACACACCTGGAAGATTGAAATAATGAGATATTTCAGGACAAATCTAATTCGGGATTCTCTCAGAAGTATTCGAAATACACGACCACGATAAGTTTTCCATGTAATTCTCAGGAAAAACGAGGTCACGTCTGGTTTTCGCGCTTTTCTTTTTTCCACTGCGACTATGGACTTATTAACGTAAAATACCTATCTATGAATGCATGCATGTATGCGTTTACTTGTAATTATTTTCGTTATCGAGGCCGGGCGAATGATAATTTGCACGAAAATTGTTCGAAATCCATAATACCACCACCCCCACTACCCACCAACTTTTATGTACTCTTCTGTTTTTTATTCTTTTTTTTTTAATCGGAACCCACCTATTTAAACGTTAAGTATAGGTAATTATTAAAAAAAAAGAAAAAGAATAAATGGGCAAAGATAAAATGTATTTATTTAAGAAACAAAAAATATATTTTCGTTTGACTCGATATATTTAAATCATGGATTTGGTTCCTTTAAAATGCAATAAGAGGATCATCGTTTCATTTTCTCGAGGTGCAAACACATATAAGTATATACGTGTATACAACCTAAGTAAAGACACGAAGGTTATTAGCACAGGTGGCCCACTAATCCAGAAAAGTATTGGTGAGTCGTGCACTCACACGTGATTTCATGCACGCGAGTGATCTCATCTATCCCAAGGATTATCGATGTACTTTCCCACCCCCCCCCTCTTCCCTTTACCGACACCAAAATTATACTAATTTTCTAAACTTTATGACAAAACGCGACGAGTTTTTTCTTTCCCTCTCCCCTAAACGCGATTGATTTTTATCCAAACGTTTTTGTTTTTCTTTTTTTCTAATCTGTTTCTTTTTAAACAAACTTCTGTGTATTCGTATACAATTACTAATTAGATGTTTCATTGTTCGTTTATATCATAAATATATATAATAATAATAATTATCCATGCGTAACGATTGACACAACCGACCTGTATAAATATTTACGTCAACGATGATATAAATGTAACTACGTAACAAAAAAAAAAGTACTTATTTAAATTTCTGTGTATAAATGCAGAAGACGGTCACGTGTTATTATTAATCGACTATCCAAGGAAAAAGTCAATTTATTTGTAATAAAAATAAATTCGTACGTCTTAAAAAATATATAAAAAAAAAAAAAGAACAAATTATAATAAAAATTTGTATCACACACGATTTATCGTCGAAACGTTTTAACAATTATTGTATCAAGTAAATAAAAAAAAAACATAGATAACTCGCCATTACTTTGTATTTGAATTACTTTCAACGTATATGCATTTTTGTTGTTTTTTTTTAGAAAAAAACAAAAAAAAATATACAACTCGTATTATTTTATCTATGATAATAGATAATAATCAAACAATTTACAAGACTAATAATGGTTTTACGTAACGTTCGATAACCAAGAAGTATATAATTCATATTATATTAATATCTCTTAAAGAAGTTCGATAAGATGCTTTCGTATTGCAAGGTTGTTAGAAGGATTCGGGTTGGTAGCATTAAACGCGTCTCCGAGGTCATTTACACTACGAGATTATACGAGTACGAGAAAGAGGGAACGGTTGCAACGGACGTTTCAGTGTCAGGACGGTTATTTCTGATTTTTAAAAGCACTCTATTTTGAGAAAGAAAAATATTTTAAACATGTTTTTTTAAGTACGAAAAAGAAATACTTTATCATTTCTTTTTTTTCCTCTTTTATATATATGTACAATACGCTAATACATTATTCTTTTTCCTCTCATGAACATGAAATCAAATTAAAATGTTTTGTCAAAGACCCTTATACATTTTGGTATCAAAAAAATATTGTTATTTACGAAATAGAAAAAAAAAAAACAAAAAAATATAAAATAAAAATAAAATAAAATGAGATAAAAAAAGAAGCATTAACGTGTTCAAGCTCAAGCTTTAAAGAACTATTGTAAAGCTTAGAAACCTCATAACTTTGTGCCACATTATATTAATGTCTCTAGCTTTGTATAACTAAACAGAATGTGCTACGAAGAGTTAAGGATATATATGTGACTCATCGACATGTCACTATGCTATGCTTTATAATACTTTATGATGAGACTGTTAAATATAGAATATTGCATCGATGCCGATGTCCACATAATTATTTGATAATAGATAACAGTATCTAAAATAAAAAATAATAGGATACAACATAAGTGTGCGATTCGATTGTATGAGCTATAACAATTCATAAAAGAAATACCTCTTGAGTAAGTTCTGCCGCACCGATAGGTTCTGCTGGTTGTTGAGAGGAACTAGAAGAATCAGGAGATGTCATATTGCTTGATGTTCCTGTTGAAATGGGTAAACTGGATCCAGCCGTAGCAGCATTTCTACCTGTATCCTCTACGTTCAATAAGTATGCGTGTATATCATTGGAGCCCGAGTTCATTCTATTGTACCTTCCCAAAGAATTTAAATCTTCGAAGAGATCCCTTTCGTAGTTTAAAAGCACCGAATCTAGATTTTTTGGATGTACAAACATTGGACGATGTACAATCGTATGAGCATCGGTATGCCATCCAGATCCATTATGAAGATCCAAGGAGCCTACGCCCATAGCTTGTATATCAAAGCCAAGGTAAGACTCTGGGTCCACTCTTAACAAGGAGAGTAACAGCGCAAGCTGCAACAACTCCTCTCTATACAACTTCTTAAGACACAACATGTTGCACACCGAGTTCCAATAGTTTCACTAGGTATACTTATATTATAAAGAGTTTTATATTCGTTTACGTGTCGTCACAGTTGCTTTTTCTTATTATCAAATACCTGCCATGACGTTGACATATTGATCATGGATCAAATACCGCTTAAAGTGTCCTTATTATTATCTTCGGCAAAGTGTCAATATCGATAGAAGAATTATCAAGAAATATAGTAACAATGTTGGACATAAATTCGATGTTAGCCACTGGATTACAATTTTTTTAAGCAGTTATTTAGATTGTCACTTTGAGGTTAAGTAGCACTGTGGACAGTGTTGCTGTTTACTCCTGCGAAGATTGCCAATACTGATTTCGCAGTTTAATCTTCGAAGATGATAGTTAGTAGAACGTCTTCTCGGTACGACTGTCAGGAGGAAAATAAAGGTTCTCAGTTAGTTTTAGGTGGATGTAGTAGGTCAGTTACACGAACGACTGATACAAAAATAACCTCAAAACACGCACTCTCTCCAGTCAAACTTCAACACGGTTTTGCGCACATCCCACGCGTGCCTTTCCTTTCATCCAAGATAATTCAAGGATTTTTAACGCTTGCCAGTTTGCCCTTGTGTATCTCTTTTAACTGAGGAACGGTAGGCAATGAAAAAAAAAAAATGAGACTAACTATATATATATATGTATACCTATAGCCACATACACACACACATGCATACACGAATAGGCGTGAGTAGGTAGGAAGAAAAGTGGGAGGTAAAAATAATAGAAATACGTTAAAAAACAGGTAGGATGACCAGGTCATCGACTACTATACCGGGTCTTCAAATATTTTCTATTCTTATTCTTTCTTTTTTTTTTAACACCTTCTTTATAACCTTGAGATCGACGATTCGTTAAATAATATTTTACACTATTTCAATTATTCCTGTAATATACACGACACTAATCTAATGATGAAACATTATAACGAAACACGACAGTCAAATTTGGATGTTTTTCTTTGACAGAAACGTAAGAGTGCACCTTGCTTAGAGAGATCGTCGACGATATGTGACTCAGCAGTCACTCCGGTAACGTCGCGGTACGTCAGGGCCGCAACGAGCATACATTTCTCCCCGGTTTTCTTTCTTTTATATATACTTATAAGCAAATAAATATCAATATCTATTACACGAAATATTCGCAATATTTAATGCAATTCGATTTTACGCGCGATTAATTTACTTTCTCCCACTTTATTCGATTGTTCGATAATCTACTTGCACGATTCGTCTTTGTTTAATTTCGCGCCACCCGCTACGAACTCTCCTATTGGTCGATAAGTTAAAGAAAGCGCGCGAGAAATATAAACGCGAATAGTAAGATTGAAAAGTTATACGTGACGTGTGTTACCGTTTCTTTCGTTGTTGCAATATTAATTAAGTTTTTTTTTTCTTACTTTCAAAGAACAATGAAAGTTGTTTTTCTTCAATAAGAATGTACGTGTTATTAATACGTAATAAGAATTACATTCCTATACGAGTACAACGGATTAATAAGATAAGCTCGTTTGGCGGCCATTTTTAAATTCCTGGAAAATATCTTTCTGATATTGTATATATAAATACATTGAGTTTTCTCACACTTAACAAATCACTTGTTATAATTAAACACACAAATTGTTCCTTTTTTTTGTTTCAATATTATTTTTCTGATATTATTAATATTAATATATTGATTAGTTATAATAATTAAATTAAAAAAAATAGAGTCACAGATTTGTTATTATTCCAAAATGATATGCAATTATTTGATAAATAATCTCTTTAAAATAGTAAATCTTTTTGTATTCGTTGATTAAACACATCAGAAATTGTAATAATATAATCCACGATTGATAACATGATTCGTAAAATATCCACTGTTATATATGAACGAATAGAATCATTCGGTAGACTGAGTGGAAAGATATTATACGATGATACTTATATAACATTCTAACTTTTCATTTCATTTTCACAACTTTTTATTCCCAAGGAGAGTTCAAAGTTGCGCAATCAATCGCGACTACCGATGGTCGATTAATATACGAAACGATACTTTGTTTTTTACTTGATAACGACGATAAAGTTCTAGCATTCATTTTCAAATCTTTTTGTTGTTCGACCTTCGATACAAAAATCTATTATTATCCTTTCATTTCCGACGCCCATTCGTTTACATTTTAATCGAAGCTTATCCAATCAATTTGATTACAAAAGAACAAAGAATCATCTTTCAATTATTTCGATCTTTTTTTGGTTTTTTTCTTAATTAATTTTTCCTTTGTAACAAAATATTCGTAGTGTAAATGACCGATTGGCAGAACAAATTGGTACGATTACGTACGAGTACATAATTACGAATAAAATACATGATACGCATGTATCACAATTTTACTTAATAAAAATAATTTGATTAGTCATTATATTTTAAGATTCTGATAGTAATAGAAAATAAATGGAAGATAAAATAACAAAAAAAATCAATTCTTAAAACGTATACTACTTGAAACGAATATTAATTTGGATTTCTCGTAAGAGATAAAAATGAAGAACACTTTCGATTATATACGACGAAAAGATCTATTACAATTTTGATTTAGTTATTTTTATTGGAACAATCCATGCAATGTGAACGAAAATAAAAAAAAAAAAGAAATAAAAAATGAATCGATAAGAAAGGTTAATCTAATTAACATAAATGAATAAATGCAAATAAGAGAAGTGAGAAGGAATAATTGACTAATTTGAAAAATAATTAAAAATGTATCGTGTACAATGTACTCGTCGGATACTGATGAAAGACGTGTTCGATGTTGCAAAAGGAATCGACCTTTGGTACATCGAGATCACGTGGTTTTTAGTAATCGAGTTGGAAGCATTTATGTCCAAGTTGGCAAAGTATTTGATTCAATGTGTTTTATTCAAAGTCGCTAGATCGCGCTTATTTATAAAACGTCATTGTTTACTTAACCAGTATAGATCGATTAGTATCGATAATCTACAAACCCGAGAATCTATGATCTGCGAATAGAAATATATTTGATTGACAGTTTATAACTTACCTGATTATTGGCTTGAATTATTTTCATTTGAGATGTAAGATCCTGGCACGGTTTTAAAATTTTCATGTATGGTAGATCCTCGTGTTGGAACATGATCGAAATGATCCAATTTCTTCTTCACTTTTCTTACGAGAAATAATGATACACTTTGATCGCGAGTTACGTACGTAAAGTCTGAATGATCGGGAGAAATCGAGAAATAGAAAGAAAGAGAGAGAGGGAAGATAATATATATATATATCTATATATATATAAAAATAAAAAAAAATAAATCCGGACGAAAGAATGTGCAGCACAATAATATCGGCGATATACTTGTATTAAATTAACACGGAATTATAATATTATTTATGATTATATTTATTCGAAAATTGCGCGTACTTTTTCCGTAAATTTTTTTCTTCAATTCTCGACTGATAGGAAGATAATGGATACTGTTTGAAAAGCGGTCTCTGATATTGCGTCGATCAAACTGCCGTTGTTGGTCTTTTCGTCTTTCAATAAGATGATTAGAATATAAAACTGTGTATTACGTCACCAAGAGGTGCGTAGTAACGCGCGTAATATGAATGTAAATGGAAAACTCGATTCGATACACAATACACGAATTTGATTTCGCGTTTGTTAATTCGTTTGATCATTTTCTCGATGAAAGGATATATCATCATTAAAGATCTTTTTTTTTTTTTACATTAAACATATAATATATTCATTTTGTATGCTTGTACATATCTCGTCGTAGTTCCATATCTTTTTTATTCTTTTTTTCTTTTTTTTTTTTTTATCGCCCATATTTTTTTTTTATACAACAAAATATCTATGACAACAGTACAGTTTGAGAACGGTATACAATATATCGTTATATCGATAATTCATTCATAAATATGACGACGCAAGACAGCCTCGTTCTCTTAAAGACGTTTTAAACGTTTATCGTGTCGTGATTGCATAAAATACGTAAAGTATTATGTACTCTTGATTACTCTGGTTGTCCAGTCTTTCGTTAGAAAGTTGCATCGGGTTTTTTAAGGAAATCGCTCGCAAAGGTTTGAATTAATGCTCAAAATCAACAACAATAATAATAATAATAATAATAATAATAATAATAATAATAATAATAAATTATCTTATATATACATAATATATACGTATGTACATAATAAATATACATAAATATATATCTATATATATATATATATATATATATATTGTATTTTAATTACGTGTACACACACACGCGTACATACATATTTATATCCTGTATTATTAGGAAGAAGAAAATAATTATTTTTAAACAAAATTATTAACAATAAATTGTTCTCGCGATCGTATTATTATCGCTGATTTACGAATAACATATATATTTTATTAATATACATAAACACGTGCGTCCATTGACAACCGATTATCCTTATTTTTTCTTTTCTTCATCCTGGACGTGTATAACCCAGAATTTTTCTTACAAAGGAACATGGTCTGTGCGATTTCGATTTTTTTTTTTCCTTTTTTTTTTTCCTTTTCTTTTTCTTTTTTTTTTTTTTTTTTTGTCAACTAAAGCAATGAGAAATATTGCACGCGCCCTTATAGAAATACTTTCGGATAATACATGACTGTTATTTGTTCTGTTCTGTTCTGTTCTTGTTGTTGTCTTGTCGTGTCGTGTTTTAAACGTAGGCCAATAACACTCCCCCATAAGATCATCGGAGCTCGGTCACTCGCTCTTTCGCACATTTTTATTACCCCATTAATTTTATTTTGGGAGCGACGTTTATAATATTTAACGAGAGAGAATATCCGTTAAGTGAAAAAATATGCTATTTACACGTAAGGTTATCTAGTTGTGCGTCGATTCGTTAATTCGCCGTTGGAGTGTATCAAAATCTACTTTAATGGGACGATGAAAGATTGATACGCTGCCGGTATATACAATTTTTGTTCTTAAGTATTTATGTTTAAGAGAGTGTTGCACGTGTGTACGTGTGTACGTGTGTATGCATTTTTATGTATTTATTTATGCGTGTCATTTTTTCTACTCATTCGTATCTCGCGTATTGTATTATACCATTTTTTTTATCAATTCTTTTTCGCGTGTGTATTTTTTTTCTGTTTTTCTTTTTCCCTAATTATTCTTCGCTTTTCTCTCCTTTTTTTTTTTCTTTTTTTTTTTTTTTTCGTCGAAGTAAATCGAGGTAAAACACTGCGCGAATTTTAACGACAAGCTTACCGCGATTTAAAAAACACGCATTTAAATATATCGTCGAGCTAAATTTCGCGTTATCGGCAGTCGTGTAAAGGCGTCTGCTGCATTGGAAAATAATAACAAAAGAAATATAGAATTTGGATAAAAATAATAAGGAAAAGTTAGATTTACGTAAATAGAAATAGATTGAAATGTATAGAAAGAAGAATGAAAAAAAAGAAAGAGAGAGAGAGAGAGAGAAAGGGTTGCTTCAATTTATGTGCTCTGGCATCGATTAACGTTGGTATAATAATAACGTGTACGTTTATCTTTCTTTAACTAACAAGTGCTAAAATATTTTAACATGAACGCCGATGAAAATCGACAAATTCGATGAGATTCAAAAAATCTTTCGAAAAATGTCGATTTACATTTCCTATCAATCGGAGATTACGATTGGGCAGTGGAAGATTAACGAGACGCGTAAAAGTATAGCGAGGAAAGTAGACTTTTCGTATTTTTTTTTTCGCGAGTAGGAATTATTTTTCTCTTTGCTTTGCTTTGCTTTGCTTTGCTTTGATTTTTTCTTTTTTCTCCTCCACTCACGCTCGCCAAAAAATTTGTTCTTTTTATATGTCAGGTGTTCTGTCATGTGTATGTGTGTCTATGTATTTTACTTGTACACATATATTTATTATGTATTTATGTAAGAATACGTGTCTGTGTGTGTTTCCCCTCTCGTTTGTTTTTCGCGCGCCCCAACGAGGAACGAACGTTTCTTTCGCGTGAACGATTACAAACTAAATGATTTAACAAGAACAAAAATCCAAAAGAAAAAGAACAAACAATAGAGAAGAAGACAAGGGATGGGGAGGGAGAAAGGGGAGAAAAATATTCGAAAGAATATTGAAATGGCAAAGGGAAAGAGGATAAGAAACAAACTAGAGGAGTGAGAAACAAATGACGATGATGGGGGTCTCTCATTTTGCGACCGGAATTGTTAATTATTTTTTTAAACGTTGAGGCGCAATGATTAGGACCGCTTTTTTTGCATTTTTAATTATCATTATCGTTATTATTATTATTATTTTTTTTTTTTTTTATTATTTATTATTATTTATTTTATTATTATTATTATTATTAATATTAATATTATTTAATTAATATTATCATTTTTAAATCACCCCTCCCCGTGTAATCTCGGCACCGTTTAGACGGCTTCTTTTTTCTCTCGGTTTTGTTCTTTTTATTTTTCCTTTTTCTTTTTTTTTTCAATATTTTTGTTCAATTTCTCCTATCGTTTTCTCTCTTTTCATTCGTTAAACAAACTTTTCTTTTCTACGACTCATGAAGAACACGACGACGCACGACGACATTACTTAAATTTCCTAAAATAATAATAATAATAATGGTATTTTCTCTTTACGTGTGTGTTTTCTGATTTCTTTTTTTTGCCTTTTTATTTTTTTCTTTTCTCTCCTATTCTTCTTCTTCATCTTCATCTTCATCATCATTTCTTTATTTTTAATTTTTATTTTTGTTATTAATTCTTTTTTTTTTTTCTTTTTATTTTTTTGTTTTCCATGCACACCGTACAAAGCGTCACAAGATGATATAAATCTATACACTTTTCTCTCATAATAAAATATCCAATTTTCTATATATGGCTAGTTCACACACGGAGAACGATCAGATCCACGTTCAAACACGCGTAAGTATATAAGTATTTAACTCAAATACTTACTTACTTACTTACTTACTTACTTACTTACTTACTTACTTACTTACTTACTTACTTACTTACTTACTTACTTACTTACTTACTTACTTACTTATTTACTTACTTACTTATTCACTTGCTCACTTATTTACTCACTTATTTATTTATTTACTTATTTACTTAATTACATACAATCTTTCCCGTTTATCCAACAACCTGCAGCGAATACGAATTATACGCGTGATAATAACATATACACACGGTACGTTTTTTTTTTTCTTTCTTTCTTTCTCTTTCAACACCCACCCACCCCCCTTATTTATTTATTTTTTTTTTCGGGTTAATTTTCACATTTTTGTCCTATATTTTCAATGGGTTCTTTTTTTCACCGTTCATTATTAAACCTCTGTTTTATTTTTTCTTTTTAATTTCTTTTCTATCTCTTCCCTTCCCTTTTTATATTTTTAATCATTTTTGTTGTTGTTGTTGTTGTTGTAATATATATATATATATATTTATAACTAATATATCTCGCTTTTAAATCATTTACCAGTTTACATTTCGCGAATAGATACGGCACCGATGATCTTTTTTCTCAAATAGAATTCGGAACACGATTTTTCCATTTGGAATCGTCTAATAGTTGATATGCTACTTAAAACGTACAAAGTGACTGACTGACTGACTGACTGACTGACTTGACTGACTTCTTACGAATCTTCCTTTTCTTTTTTTTTTTTTCTTCTTATTTTTCTTTTTATATTTTTTTTTCTCTCTATGATAAATTGATTACACCTAAACAATAATCGCCGATTTAGCTAAATCCTCGGAAATATTTTCTTCTCATTCGATCGACATAATCCATTATCATATATCGTTATAATAATAATAATAATTATTATCATTATAATTATAATACAAACACGATTCATTTCATTTCGTTTTATTTCGTTTAATATTTTTTTTTTTAATTTCATCCTTGTCTTTTTCCTTTACGACAAGCTCGATTCGTTCATTGTTCAACGTATAAACTTAAAACACTTTGATGGATGGGTTCATAGGAATGGGGTAAGTTGGGCATCACGTAGAGTTGACTATTATCACTCCATTTTAAAAAGTTCAATATATATATTTTTTTAGGGGATACGAAGGGATTGTTTTTAAACGTCCCTCGAGGCATAGGTAGTCAGCCCTTAATTCGACGAGGGGGTGGAGGAGGGAGGAGGATTTCAACGACTACCCTGTAAAATATCGTCGTCTTTTGTACCCCCTTTTCCCCTGCCTACTCTCCTCGTCACTCCTTATTTTTTTTTAAATACCTCCCTCCCATTAACCCCTTATAACTATATTATAAACTTCGCGTTTCTCACATTTTTTATTCTTTTTTTTCTCGATTTTCTTTTCCATCTCGTTCTTTCTTTCTTTTTTTTGTAATTTTTCTTTTCTTTTTTTTTTTTTGTAATCCTTTTTTTACGCATTTACTACGTATCATCCATCGTTTTTACATCTAAATTATTCCAATCTGCACGCACCGCGTGTACAATAAATAAATACTTTCGAAAGTGCGTATATAAATCGGTGTATAGAATATTTTACATACAAACAATTCGGCAAGTATTATTACGCTCGTCGACCGTCAAGAAGAATTTCTTTTTTTTTTTTTTTCTTTTTTTCTTTTTTCCGACAGAGGGGCGAGGCCTAATCGTGAGACTGAGAGAGAGACAGAGAGAAAGTGTGATAAGAAGAGAAAGTGAGAGGGTTAAAGTAAAAAAGATAAAGAGGTAGAAAGAAATAGAAGAAAAAAAGAATAGTTTTTGTATACCCGGCGCGGGGGATCCTTGATGTAAAGTTGTATGTATACGTGTGTAATTTTCATCAGTGAAAAAAGCTAGAGCAATAAATAGCGCACCCCATTCTACCGGTCCCTCTCGTCTCATTGTCGGATTGTCTTTCTTTGCAGTCTAATTAGTTGCCTAGTTAGAAATAGTCATTTGACATTTAGAAAAAAAAAAAAAAAAAAAAAAAAAAAATCAAAAAAAAAAACCGACATAACGAAAAATAATTGTTGCGGANTGTATGTATACGTGTGTAATTTTCATCAGTGAAAAAAGCTAGAGCAATAAATAGCGCACCCCATTCTACCGGTCCCTCTCGTCTCATTGTCGGATCTTCTTCCCCTCTTCTTCCCCTCTTCTTCCCCTCTTCGTCCCTACTCGAACTCTTGGAAAAAAAAAAAAAAAAAAAAAAAAAAAAAAATCCAAATGAAAAACCGACATAACGAAAAATAATTGTTGCGGAAATGGGCCCATCCCTTGACCAACGTATCAATCAATAAAGGCCGCTCGTTCGAATCATCTCGGGCTTTTTTTCTTTTTTTTTTTTTCTTTCAAGAAGTAGGCTATTTATTATGTCGCGTTGATTGTTTTTTTTTTGTTTAACCCGCTCGTAAGAGAGGGGCAGCGGCGGTTGTCTCTCGTATAAATATAATGAAGAAAAATAGCCATACCGATAAAAAATAGGACCGAACGATTCCGGGCCATTGCTGTCCCATTTCCGACGAGCAAGGGTTAACACGAATGAACGTCCAAAAAGTCGATCAACCAGTCGTCCAATACGTCCACGTTTTCTTTAACCCAATGAATGTTGAATCTAATTGTTTCCAAGCTTTGATCGAGTGCTCGTTTACCGCTACCAACGTCCACCTTTTTAAAAAATTCAGTAACCTTGACAAAACAGATTAGAGAAAAAGTAAATGTTAATGTTTTGGACGGATAATAGAAATATATAAATTTGTAAAGTTCATACAATGAAAAAAATGTATATTATTAATAATATTATATATATATATATATATATGTGATATTATGATCTACCTCGCGGTAATCGTGCTCTGTGAAGAAATTTGACGTAACGACGCTTATCAAGCTACCCATAGTGAGAGTACCGTTACCAAACAATGCTTGTATATCGTGCCAGTACGCTTTGAGATGTCGCCAAGCAAGAAACAATCCTTCCGAATTAGAAGCCACCGATCCTATAACAGTCTCAACGTCTTGAGGTCTCACCTTCTCGCGATCCAAAGAACGTAGAAGGTAACGTTGTAACAACCATGGATCTGAGGTACCACCGAGTGCTTGCAACATCACACTTTTCTCGCTAGGAACTTGTGTTTTTTGATAAACCGACCAACAATAGTTCCATTCCGGTTCCCCGCCAAATTTAATTCCTGCAACGTAAACAACATCGCGAATGTTTGGCCTAATACTTTTACTGTTCAACATCCAATCGTTGAAAAGTGTTTTAGCTGGTTCAACAACGTTCTCCAATTTCACCGATACTGCTGATTGTAATACCGCAATTCGTAATAATCTAAAGGGGAGGAAAGGGAAACAAAAGTTTACGTTATTTTAATGTAATCATGGATAGAGAAAAAAATATTCGACAAAATATATATTGTTCTCGTAATATTTACTTGTCCAAGTGAGTTCCTTCGTCCGCCCAACCGACATATTTTGTAATAGGACCTAACAATCGTTTAAGAAATTCGATGTATCTCTTGTAAGCTCGACTTTCGGCTAATCTTCCCTTCCAAGAGTACAGGTACTTAAGGGCTGTCATCCATGGAACGTAATCTCTTTCGTTTAGGAGGTACAAAGATAATTCCAGAGGGATAGTAGCATTTAATTCACCAGCTTCGCATAATTCGAAAGCATCGTCGATAAGATTTGCACGATCTGCCGGACTGAACTGCGTGTGATTGTAATGTAATGTTGTAATAATATACATCCACATGTCTTCCGGATAATTCACTCGATAAAATCCACTTTGATTGACGTTACATTTGATGAATTCAACGTCACTCGCTATTTCAAAGGTGACTGAAATATCGTAATATCGATGATTAGACACGATGAGGATAAATGTTAAGGGCCCAATCGAATCAAATATTTTCCTCAGAAAATATTCTTACCGTCGGTTAAATTCATCCACACGTTTTGTAACTTATGCGGTTCCTTATCCGTGTAATAACTCAGTGGCACGTACCATTTGTAATTGAATGGTGATTTTTGATTGAAAATTTCTGTATCGTTTTCATTCGGCAATATGAGAAATCTTTTCTGACTCGCTGTAATGGTATTTCCATCACGGATTATCGTTACCAATGGAAAACCCATTTGTTGTGTCCACGTATCCATTATGGCCTGTCAATAGTATTAATTGAAATATATATTTTTAACATATCGTAGTTGTGCTTTATCATGAATATTTTCGGACACTTACTTTGACGTCGAACGTACGATTGGCATGTTTAGTGAAAACAGCCCAAAGGTCTTTGGTGTCTGCGTTTCCGTAAGCATGGATATTGAGATAATCGTTCAATCCACTTTTCAATACGTCTTCGAAGAGAAAACCTTCGAGCATATTTAAAATCGAAGCACCTTTGTGATAACTGATAATATCGAAAATGGCTTCTATCTCTTTGGGATCGTCTACTTTTACGCTTATCGGATGACTACTGGCAAGTGCATCGAGATGTAAGGCAGATTGTGTTTTTTCTAGAATAAACTGATCCATCATATTCCATTCCGGTGAAATATGATTGACACCTTTGTATTCGAAGAAACTGGCAGCACCTTCGTTCAACCAAAGATCGTTCCACCATTTCATCGTAACTAGATTACCGAACCATTGGTGTGCCAATTCGTGGGCAACAATTATCGCGATCCATTCGTGTGCAGCAGTAGATGTTTCTTCAGGATCGTAAAGAATTGCAGTTTCTCGATAAGTAGTTAGGCCCCAATTTTCCATTGCTTCGGTACCAAAGTCAGGAATCGCGATCAAATCTATAAATAATCTATGGATAAAGGAGAAATCCATTTGACGATAAGATCTCGATTGATACCAACCTTGTTTAGGCAATGGATAATCTACTCCGAAGAAAGATTCAAAGTAATCCATCGTACGAACAGCGATATCTATCGCGTATCTCGCTTGAGGAAGCATCGATTCTGGTGCATAAACGCTCACAGAAACGTTTCTCTTAGTCATCTCGGAAATCCTTTTAAAATCGCATACAACGAATGCCACCAAATATGTAGACATTTCGACGGATTCTTGGAAATCATCTCGAAGCTAAAAATTTCATCATAGATTCGTGTATACGCAAAGGGAACAACCTAATATTAATAATTAGCAATTCCAAATAAATATTAATCTACTGCAGAATTAAATTTTGTTTGAATTTATGGGATTGACAACTTACAAGGCCAGTCCCCATATAAAAGCCAGCATCCTCCGTATTGACAACAGGCATGTTGCATAACGCAATATGAAATCTATCCCTGAATATTGAAATCTTGAATTTAGCTTTGAACTGGGGCTCGTCGAAACAGGGAAACGCCGATCGTGCATACGTTGGTTCAAATTGTGTCGTTGCCAAATACCTGATAAGTACAAAAAAAAAAGAAAAAACGATACGATTAGATGACTTTGATGAAATATTAAGAGACATGAAACGAGGATCGCCTCGTCGAAGAGTTTTCCGAATCGAAAATGATTACAATTTCAGAGTGACCTCTTTTCTCCATCGGCGGTGACGTAACTGCTGAGATAAAAACCCTCCAGATTGCTGGTTAATTTCGAAACGAATCTCAGGTGTACCGTGTAATTGCCTCTTTTTCGAAATTTACTCTCTTCCAATTGGAGATATAATTGTTGATGAGTAGGATACTCCAACAATTTCGCGATTTTCAATCTATGGCCTTTCCGATCTTGGACCATCTAAGAATAATTCAAAACGAGAACTAACAAAGACAAGTTCATTTATATAAAATATATTCCTTACGTATATCTCATTTTTATTTTTCATTACCTTTTCGTTTATTGTCAAGTTGTTACTATGGAAGACGATAAAATTGGTCTCTTTATCGACGTTGAATTCGATTGTGACCTGTCCTGTTAATCAAAACTATCATATAAATATTTGAAGATAAAAATTCGATCGTTAATAATTTCTCAATCTTAAATAATCAAACAATAATGATTATTATATGAAATTTACCTTTAACTTCTAAGGTGGTAAGATTTGGATGGATGGTAATGTTATACCTAGTAGGATACACGAATGTAGGTAGCCTGACGTTATTCCATGGGAATACCTGCAAGATTCATCGTTATAGCTTTAGCTTATCTATAACTACGCACATTTCGTTTGTAATAAATCATTACGAACGTATACCATCGTCCGTAATACTAAAAAATGCATGACCAATAGCAGTGTTCGTATACTTTGCTTTACGAGTAATAGAAAGAGAGAGAGAGAGAGAGAGAGAAAGTACACCTAACGATTGATTTCCCGCCAAGTTGTGTATCGTTCGCTTGGTCATCTTACATTTATCGAAAACTTGTACAAAACGTTTTATCGTAAATTCGAATATTATTTTAACGACAGACAATATTCGACGATATTCATTCGTATTGTAATAAAAATTGATTCGTATACCTCCCCATTAGTTGCGAGAGGCTCGTTGCTCTCTTCATCGTCTTCGATTTCTATATTGGCTGGCCTTTGTCCAGCGCAAGGGCAGTCTGTGAAAAATAGGAAAAGAAAGAAAAGAAAAGAAAAACGTGTAAAACATTGATATAAAAATGTTTGCAACGAAAATAAATAAATCGATTAAATAAACAATGTGTTAGGTAGGTATGTAGTACCATTTTGTGGTCCCGCGAAGGCAATGATGAGTGATATGGCGAAAAGTAATGCGAAAACGACGGTGGCTATGCAGAGTGCCCTTTTTTGTGAACAGACGATTCCATTGGGCTCGTAAATACTACGTTTGTGCAATCCGGTGTTGCTGTCTTCTGAAACAAAGAAACCCTTCTGAAGAATACTCCTTAATCCGCGTGACATATACGCGGTCTTTTACTTCTTTGAGTAAAAAATGAAAAAGAAAAAAAGAAAAAAGAAGAAAAAAAAGTATCGACGAAGGAGTACTTCTATTCTCTTCCCATTGTTATTCGTCGTTGCTCGCGGAACTGTACTCTTGAGACTCTTGCTTGAATAGTTTTGAAACTGGGCTACGATGTCGATGAGACGGGGAGAAAAAAAAAAGAAAAGAGAGCTTATCGCGCGCGCTGAAAAATATTCACTTCCATAGATATTATCTATATGTTATTTTCGGAACTCGCGAACAACAATGCCCGCGCGAATTCGTGCTCGATTAAAGGAAAATCAACGAAAAGGGGATGACGGTGATACCTGTGTACGATCGAAAAAGACAAAAACAAAGAGAGAGAGAGAGAGGGAAAGAAAGAGGTTTAAGGGGAGGGGGGTGGATGCCACCAAAAAAAACTATATTTTACAAAGCATAAGAGAATTTCTCGCTCACGAGCCACACATCAAAGTTTCATACTTTCTACTAACCACTTGACCCGGATTTCCAATTGCTCGACGTCAGTCTAAAATGACGTTAATGCGGTTACGCTGAAAATCCTAGAGAACAACAACCGCATGGAGTTTGATTATTGCGTTCGGATTTTGTGAAATTATAATTTTAATTCTCTAAAAAAATACGATCCCATTTCGATGCATTTAAATGCATACGCTCGTGCGGCGGGAATCATAAGAGGTTAAGGGGGTTGATGATGATACGTTAAAATAATAGATACTACATTGTCTACGAGAATGACAAACTCGTGTAACTCGTACGAAATTAATTTTCGCGTTGTTAGAAGTACCATTTGAAATTCATGAAAGTTGTCTTATCGTTCTAACCGATTTCCGTCAATCATTGGGTCCGAGTATTCCGATAGACCCTTGCATATGGTGAAACAAGAATGACACAATTGTTCGAGAGAAGAACAACAAAGCTTGGGTGGTATCATTATGCGGCCGTCAGAAAAAGAGAAAGAAGGGGATGAAAGAGAGTCGCGTTTATTCTGCTTGCTGCCAATAAAGCACTTTCGATAAGCGAACTCATCAATGAGAGTAAAGGATCAGCACGACTCGTGGGAGAATAAGAAGGAGGGAGGAAGGGTGGGAAGAAGCACAAGAGGGTAGTAGGTGTGCGCGCTTTATTTCGAAAGATCGGACTGAAGCTTCCCTCTTATTGATCGCACGCACGTGCTCCTCGTGCAGTCTATTCGCAGCTCGGTAAAGCCGTAAGTGGGCCATCTGGTCGGGCAATTCCAAATGAAAAAGAACCACGAGTAGAAGTAATAGTAGTAGTAGTAGTAGTAATAGTAGTAATAGTAGTAGTAATAGATGGAAGAAAAAGACATAGAATGAGACGTGTAAGTAGACAACAACAAAGCTTCGCAGAGAGAGACAGAAAGGAATAAGGGTAGAAATAAATGAAGAAAAAATGTTGGCGTTTTAGCACGGGAGGGGGGGGATGAATCCCTCACCTGTCAAAAAGGCAACGTCGTCCACATCTTGCTCGCTCATCGCGAACCGATTCGGCAGCGATCTCCGATAAACGAGTCCCTTTACCTGACCGTTGTTCGAGGCATATGAGATTTTAATCAGGGGTTCTCTCTGTTCAGCCAGTATACTCTCCTTTCCTACTGACACCCTGGTCACCTCGTGGTCCAAGGTCAAACGAGGATTGCCCTCGTCGATCTTACCCCCGAAATTATAGAAAATTCTTTCTTATATTTAGGCTCTTGTACCTTGTATCAGCAGTGTGTGTATCGTAGCACTTATATAGAGTAATTAAAGCCGGATTTAATATCCGGAATGGGGTTGTCACCTCACGGCCAAGTATGATAAGGCCCGATTTAAAGGAGGCTGCGTTAAAATATTATCACGGCGTTGTTCGTGATCTCGTGTACGGTCGCCCGTTGCACGAGCACGAACACGAGCACGAACACGAGCACGAGCACGAACACGAACACGATGACAACGATGAGGGCCAACGACGACACCACCGAAACCTACACAAAACGGAAACCCGCGAAAATATAAGGATTTGCGAGCTCACGAATGAGTAACCGAATGTCCCGACGACGTCGCCGAGTCTATAACGTCCGACGTGCCTTGACATTTCATTGGCATTAAACCGCGAATATAGCGACTGCGGGTGTTAGGCAGAAATGGCGGCTTTCCAAAGCAACCCCTGCTGCTGTTGGTGATACTGGTGGTGGTGCTGGTGCTGCTGCTGCTACTGCTACCGGAAGAACGTTTTTCGCGAAGGGGGTGGATTCGTCGTCGTGGTCGTGGTCGTGGTCGTGGTCGTGATCGTCGTCGTCGTCGTCGTCGTCGTCGTCGTTCCTCGTTTCTACCATTTCTCGCAAGGGTTGATTTTCACGGTGGCGCCATCGTTCAAACGTTCACAGCAACGACAAGTAAAACAGCTTTTCTCTTACTGTTGATCATACAACTGTTCTTGTCGCTGCTGTCTGTCCCTTCATTCTTTCTTTCTTATTTTCTTAATTTCTTTCCTTCTTCTATTCGTTCATCTATTGCTTGGTAAAAAAGGCTACTACACACCACCAAGGGTGCTTCCTTCTATTGACGATCGAGCTTCCGACCAAGACCGCACCTTCCTTTTCTCTCTATCTATCTTTCTCTGTTTCTCTCTCTCTTTCTATTTTCCACCCTCTCTCACCCTCACCCTTTTCTATGTTCTCTTTTTAACCCAGCTATCGTGAATTTAATCGTATTCAGAGTGCCCCAGTAACGTACTCTCTCGTTGAATTTAATGTAGATTCTTTCTTTGAAGAATACAAACAGGCCACGGTCCCATCATCCATAACCCAAACTTCTCTCCTCTCGCAAGGTTTTGAATTAAAAATGGTACTAACTAATAAAATTCGCTTTTAACCAGTTAACTGTTTTTTTCTTTTTGCGACGAGTATACTCGTAAAGAGTAACAAGTAATGACAATTTGCAATTGAAATTGACATTTTTTGTTTGTTTGAAAACTATAATATATTCTTTAACTTCGAAATGTTTGAAATATTTCAGAGGACCCGTTTTTTTTCTTTTTTATTTATAGAAAAATAATAGAGGAAAATTTACATTGAACAAACAATTGCATCATATCCAATTTAGAATGTGTAACACCGACAGTAAGTCGATAAACTAAACCAGACTGTTTATCCATCTAATCGGGAAACATTTTCCGGATTATATATCCTCAACTTTAAAAGCTAATCTTACACGGAGGTGGTGTGCACATTAATTTAAAATTAATATTCGAAAATAATCGCGATATATTACTATTCAACTTGCAAAGTTCTATTATGCATTGTATCGTGATTTGTTCAATACCATTCTCTAACAACAAATTAAAGTATGAAATTCATATTTTTCCTTGTTTTTTCTTTTTTGTTATATATGCAAAATATTTAATAAAATAAATTTGATCGATGTGAACAATGAAATAAAAAAAAAAAATAAAAGTCATTACAAATACTCTGTGTTTGACGAGTATACTCGTCAATTTGTGCGATGCAGTTTAGGAAAGCATTTTTCAAAAAGGTCGAAATAGTTTCAGTAACTGGTTAATGATACTCTCATAAAAGTCTCTGTATGCACGAGTAAGTACCACGTCTCTTTCCTTTCAATCAGCTGTTAAGTTAGCAGACCGTTTACACAGCAATTCAGCGAGACGGTACTTTACTATTTTAACGATGAAAAAATATGTCAACGGGGGAAAAATAAAGACACTCTTTTCTTTAAGATTTATGTTGGATTATGAAAAAATTCAATGGAGATTTAAAAAAATACTGCTTAATTTGTATAATTAATATCATTCCTTTTAAGGGATTATACAACACAGAGATTGGAGCCTCGGAAAAACTAGCACGAAGAAGAAAATTGTTTTTTGATGCAACTTTCAAGTACCATCATCCCCATTAGAACTCAAACTCGGTCAACGAGCCTAAAGTATGAGGCCCAAAATGAATGGGACGTTACTTGAAAGTTGCATCTCAACAACAACAAAATTGTCTTTAAAAATATCAATTTGTTTCAATCGCGAAAAATTCCGTGCAAAATTTCTACGAATAATATCTTTTTATAAATCATCTTCTATAGATAAATATCATTTCGCGTTATTCGTAAATCTGATTGAACAATGAACATTGCCATCCAGTATCTTGCACAGCTTCATATTACGTAATATTCAAATCCAATTAAACAAACTACATTACACATTGGTAGTGTTGGATAAAAGCGTGAAGCTAACACGAGCCGAATTGAAATCGAATTCCTTAGTAGACATAGAACACCACCACTACCACCACCATCATCCACCCACCACCATCGCCAACGAATTTCAAACGAATTCGTATTCACGACGTGAACTTCGTGTCTTGAACATAAACGCTTCGAGCACCCGAGCAACTAGTGTTCCAACGAAATTGGCCGTTTACGTGTCTTTCCATGAAGTTAGCTTTCCGGGACCATCCTTCTGTTTTGTTAGAAGGATAGAAATAAAAAAAGAGAGACAAAGTGGGAGAAATGGTAGAAAGAAAACGACGGGGAATAGAAAATGAGAAGTAATGGGGTAGAGGAGGGTACGATGTTAAATCAATATAAGAAGAAGCTTTAAAGACGCGAAGTCGCGAGCCCAGTTCTTTTAAAGAAAATGAAAGAATTTTGTTCTTTTGTCTTAAAGATCGTGATTGTGCAATAGCCGAGAGGCTCTCGAAAATTTCTGCTTAATACCAATGCAAGCTAGAACACTTCGCCGTATCCAGTGTGCTCTATTTAAAGTTCGATATATAAAGCTACCAAATGCTGACAATATCACTCTAAAGAGGGTTTCGAAAAGAGGTGAGGAGAGAAACGTTGCTTCCAGCTCTTCCGCTTCTTCTTCTTCTTCTTTTTTTATCCTCCTCCTCCATCTCCTCCTCATATTCCTCTTCCTCTTTACCCTTCTTCATTTTCTATCCTTCTCGTTTTCTCTCTGCCTGCCCGGAGGCCGCAACCTCCCTCACGATAGCTTCTATGTAAGAGGGTGGGTTCCTTCATAAAGCAAATGGCGAGACACGGGAAATGAAACACTCTTTTCACCGTAGTATCCTTTATTTCCAAGAAATACTACTGGATCCTTGCAAATGTTTTTCAACGAATACCACAGACGACTCCTCTTATATAGTCCTTTTGTCGTAACGCATCGTTGAATTTTCAAGTGGCGAATTGTATCATTGGCTAATATAAATCGGTTTTAAAAACGACTTATTCACCACCGAATTTCCCGTACCTATTTTATGTCACTATAGTGTAAGTTAACGTCAATAAACTTTACTGATTTGGCACGTAAAAGATGGAACACGAGATAAAAGCTTTCTACTAGATGCCAAAATATATACATAAATCGGTACAATTGCAAAGTTTTCTTGCAAAGATGATTGTACGCGTATATCGTTTTCACAAAATTGTAAATTTAAATCTCGGAATGATTTTTCAATTATAATTTATTACGAATAATCTTTCAATTTATACGCATCTTAGAGAGAGAGAGAGAGAGAGAGAGAGAGGAAGAAAGAAAATCGTAAAAATTTCCAAACATTAACGAGAAATCCGTTTTCTTTCCTTTGCCAATTTCGAACTATCATAACATTCTTTTATGTGGCAATCCTTTTAAAACATAAATATTTTTATCGAGTCGTCAAAATTATCCTCAAGATATTATCACGTATCGATTGTTTTATTGTTATAAGAAAATATGTAGATTCGTATCACAATCAGATTAACATAGTAAATCATGATCGTATTATTCTCTATATCAATCTTAGTTTATAGATTATTTTTCATAAAGACAAGTCGATGATTGACGAATAATTTATTGATTTATTAATGTTCAGATTTGAAATCAGATCTTGATACTGTTGGTGATGGTACAGAATCGGAAGACATTTATAAACGACTGAACTTTTGAACTTGTGACCTCCTCCTCCTCCTCCTTTTCCGTTCGTCCCTTTTCGCATGGTAGTTTCGTCCAGCCTACATTAGGCCCCGCAAAGATAACACGGATCTTGATACGCGATATAAATTATTCCGATATTTTCTCTCTTCTTCCATTGCAAAGAGGTAGCTAGCTATTTCCAACGTAGTAGGAAAGAAGAACATTTCGTTTCTTACGGTCGCTCCAATACGTTTTACGATCGCATCAGGAAAAATTGATGCTCGGTTTTAAAGGTCAATGTATCCGAACCGAAACGCATTCGATATTATATTTGCTTTTTATTATCCCTTTCCAATAACAAGATTATTTCTTTAACCTTGTTTTATATCATTTAATAGTTCTATATATGATAAGTGCATTCAAGAGATAGAGATAGAAAGAATGATTGATTTTCTTTAAAATAACGATTATATAAATCAATCTTTTTATATAAGAAGTTTGGATAGAAAGTAATCTCGTGGGATCATCGGGAGTATCATCCAACTTGAAACGTTTAAGCCAGTGTTGTCGAGCGTTAGTCACGCGAACTTTCGATTGATAAATGATTCCGTTGTTTATCGCGATAACAATTAAAGATAGTATACAATTATAATATAATAATGTAGATGAGGATGTGGTTTCAGCGAGCGAGCAATTCGATAAATCTCAGGTAAACTTATCGTGAAAACAAATTAGAAAAAATATAAAAAGAATAATATAAATAATAAAAGTGTCTTAAGGGAAATTGGAAATTTGGAAAAATGTAATAATGTATGTCTTCGAAAGACTAAAAACATTAATGATCGAAGTAATATTAAAGAACCTCCCTTCTTGTAATGTCCCCCAATAAAGGGGATGAAACGTTCAATGAGATTAAAATAAATGTTATAAAAATGTTCAACCTGTTCAATTTCCTCCCTGTAAGATACTTTAATTATGAATAATTTGATTATTGAACGAGATAAACAACTAATTGATAATATAAAATATGATGATTCGATGTATTTGACCTACCTGTGATTACTGGTACTTCGGTGCTATTGGCAGTTCCATTTTGCCCGGGGCTACGTGAACTGGATGTTCTACCGAGAGGTTCCATTCGGATTACCTCGCTACTCTCTCGAGTCGACGTTTGCCCCGGCATTCTATTATTATCAAACGTTTTATTATCCGTTAAAACACCTTTATTTATTTTCAAAGGAGGAAGAAGATTCCTGCGAATTTCTTGACGATTCACATAGCTCGAACTCGATGAAGTCCAAGACGACGAAGACGAAGACGTCTTCCTTGTCGTACCAGGGTGATCGACGTATCGACGACGCCTTCTTTGAGACGCGACATTTTCTCCTCCCTCCTTCCATTTAGGACGAGCTCGATCAACGATTGCTACCGTACGATCCACTTTTCCGACTATTATTTCTATCTATTATTAAAGACAAAACAAACTACCCCTCTTTCTTTTCTATTCCGAAAATACGCGGACGATCTTGGTCCCTTATAAGTTTCAATTCGATACCCTTTTTTTTTTTGGCACCAGTGTAAAACGTTAAAAATTTTTTGGCGAGTTTTGAGCAGTCTTTGTGATAATGCACGAAGAAGAATAATAGATACTTTTCTACAAAAAAAAACTATTATTTAATTTCGTCTCGAACGTTTTCTCTCGTCTTTTATTGCACCTCCCCCTTTCCTTTTACTTCTTCGTGGTCCGCGAAAGTAATGTCGTCAATTATGCCCGACGATGAAAATTGACTACCGAGTCATTACAAGTTTTCTCTTACTATCTTTTTTAGTATGACTAATTTGCCAAGATTTTACGTGATTTCACACTCGACGTTACTTTTTTTTTCTCCTTCTTTCATCGCGTAGTTTCTATCATCATCATCATTATCATCGTCATCATAGTCATCGTCATTACCGTCATCGTAGTTATCACAGTCGTAGTAATTTTCGTCTTAGTCGTTATTCCTGTTGTTGTCACTAGCTTTCCTACTGTTATCATCCTCGTCTTACTCGTCTTCGGTGTCGTTGCATCGTTAATTAACTGGAGCGCCGGTATACGCATCGTAAGGTAGAACGTTTTCTTGCCTCTAAGCTAGTTTTGCCCTCGTTACGCCTGAAACAAAATTGAAAAAAGGCCGACTACTCTTGTTTGACGATTAATTAAGCGTTGAAGTTAAAGTAGCGTGGCGCGTTGTGTAAGCACAACAACTTAACCGTCAATCCCTAGTTTGTTGTTGCGTACTTTTTAAAAAGGGTATTCATTGGATAAGAGAAAAAAACAAAAATAACATCGGAAGTTATTTAAATACGATCGATTCTTTATCATCTTCTTATACTTCACTTTTTTCAATCTTATTATTTTATTATTTATCTTACTTGACAGAATCCTATCTCTCTCTCTTATCAACGATAATGTATTTCAATTGTAATACCAAATTCTATAGATGTTACTAATTCGAGATTATATATAATCATTTAAATCAAGTTGCATTAAAAAAAAAAAAGAAAGGAAGGAACTACTTATGGGATAACCTAATATATACATTAAATTATAAACGTGAATTCGTTTTTCCACTAAGATTTGATTTACCTCCCTTACTTTACTATTTTTACAGAAATTTATTTTAAACATTTGGTATTTGATATCCATTAGAAGTAGCAACGTAATATTAAGAAGCATTTACGAGAATAAAACGATCATGAGCTTTCATTAGTTCAGTATCGAATTCACTCTTCGACCCCTTTTTTCCACCGATAATAGCGACACGCGAAACCGATTACAAATTTTCTACATCGTAAAACCAAGTTACAAGATTTATCGTCGTCAATCGTAATAATTGGCATATATATTATTTTCACGTATAAAAAAGAAAAAAATAAAAGAAAGAAAAAAAATCTAATCGGAGGAGAATTACATGTTACAAAATCGTCGCTTGTTCAAGCAGTCGATACCTGTTCGAGGTGAAATTTTCTCTCGTTTATGATATCCGCTTGAATACAGGCTTGAAAATCGATTTTCGAAGGCTTACGCGAGTTAATACGAACTCGATAGAGAAAAAATGAGAATGAAAAAGAGAGAGAGAGAGAGAGAGAGAGAGAGAGAGAGAGGAAAGTGAGAGACTTTAGCACCAATCTACAAAATTTTTGATGAGAATCATCACTACTACACACACACACAGAGATTATATTAATTTTTTATATTAGCTCGAAAAGAAGCTAGCTTGATCCTTCTTTTTTTTTTTTAAACTACCATCACACACCAACTTTATTTATATTATAAAATATATAAATATCTATCTGTGTGAAATATCGTATTTTTCGATTGGAATATTAATGGCGAGACACCAACAAAACTACTGAAAATTATTTGGGAAAGGATATATTCAGGGAATATCGATTTTAGCGCGACATAACTATGGTTACGCGCGAGTGAACGTTTTCAACCCCCATGCTAGGAAAACGAGAAACAAAATCAAATAGAAGATCGTACTGAACGTAGAGGAAGAGAGAAGTCATCTTTTTTTTTTATTATATTTCTTTTTTCTATTGGTGATCGACAGACTGTACCCAAAAGCTTTTCGTCTGCTCGAAATGACACGCGAATTTACGGCGCGCATACAAATCTTTTTTTTTCTCTTTTTTTCTATTTATAAAAAATATAAAAAGTATAAACCGTTAATTACAAACACTTTTATGTATTATATTGAATTTGCGAGAAATACTGTACTCGTAACTTGTAATTAATTTAATAATGTTTAAATTGTAAACATGTATTATATCCGTCAGTATTATACAACTATTGTTATTATATTAATAATATGCGTCTATTGTTTTATAATCGTGCGGCTTGTATAAAATACTAGATAATTAATTTAAATTTCTGAATTTTTCTTTCCATTTGTTCAATAACAAAACAATTCTTCGTAACGTCTTATCTCGACATGAGTTATTGTACCGTAAAATAAATTAATGTGTTACGTAAAAATGATTCGTAATTATTTTCTTTAGAAAAAACATTAGAAATAAAATCAAGATAAACGAAAATAATTTATAACTCGCGGATATAATAAAATGAAAAGATTTATCTTTTTAATTTAGTCGTTGATATTAAAAGATGTTCGCATTGTAACGAACAAACTGTCTGTTTCCGTAGACATCCGGACACTTCCGAAGACGATGATGCAATTAGGTGAATTCACGGTAACTATGATGTACACTTAAACGTAAACTTAATCACAGTGGTCACCGTCACAAATTTCATTCATTAATGTCATAGTAATCTTACACTTATGTGTTCCTAAATAGAGTCATTATATTATGATCGCTTTTCTGTGTAAGTGCATTATGCAACTTGATCAAATCTTTCTACGTATGATAAAAATCAAGGACGTTAGACATCATTCTTACTTTAAAAAGCGCGCTTCGAATATCATTAAGTTAATACAGTGTTTCTCGTTCTCGTAAATAGTGTCGTTATGTAATTGCATAGTTTACGTTATTCGATAAGGAAAAAAAATCATGTAAAATCTTTTCACCGTATAAGTGTGTAAGCCAAAAAAAAAAAAGTAATATAAATTATATTATTAGAAAGAAATGATAAAATAATAAATTTCGTTAAAGTGTTCGATTCGCTGGTAAAACTGCATTTAACTTGTTATCGAAATTACAAAATAAATTCAATTTCCATAATCTCGAGTTTAATGAAACGTTAACGAAGCATTTAAATTAGCGAGTTATTTCCGAGTTTTTTAAAAAAAAGAAATAAAGAAAAATCTAACAAAATGGAAAAATAAATTAAATACGATTTTTTGTTTACAAGTAACGACACATACGTTCGAGTGGAAAATATTTTGTAACGTCTAACATCCTGTCTGACCATCGTAGATTTGATCTACTGAAAATACAAACTGTTTGTTCTTTCTTTCGCGAGAATTTAAATTGTCTGGTGAAATTTTCGAAAAAAAAATTAAACAATAATTGTATAAACTTTGACTCCGTCGTTCACGTTAAATTCCTTGTTGTTTAAAACACACACACATAACATAGATGCACCTGGTGCGCGCGTGGTGCGTACAACGAACGTTTTTCGCAATGGAACGTTGACCCTGCCCTGTCTCCCGCGCCTAAAACTTGAGTCGAAAAAAAGAAGAACAAAAAAAACCGAGAAAATTAGATCGAACAATGTGTCTTTCTATATAAAATAATTAAAAACCCTTTAATTCGAGGAGAAAAAAGAAACAAGAAAACCAAACTAGAGCTCACGTTCTCGAGAACGGTGAAAATAAAAAAAGATAATAAAAAAGGAAAAGAAAATTAAGCAATAAAACGTTGTATAAAAAAGATTAGGCAAGGAAGAACAAAAAAAACTCACCTGTTTCTTTGAGAATTTTTCCCAAGCCGGACCGGCAAGCAACAGGAAGATTTGGCACTGTCTATATATTATTTTCCACCACTAATTATTATTCTATCACGAAAATTACAAAAACCGTAGATAATAATATTACTCGATAAAAATTTAAATAACACGAATAGCAGCTCATCGTTTCGATGAAATATCATTTAATTGAATTTAACAACTATGTAGACGTTAAATTGGACGGACCAACGTTTAATTACGGACGTTACGTTACGAAAGATAATCGTAAAAAAAAAAAGCATGAACGAAAATAAAATCAGAAAATAAAAAGAGAGAGAAAAACTAAAGGAGAGGAAATCCCTTCTTAAAAAAAGGAAACGAGGGATAAATAAGATAAAATCGGGGGAAAGCCGAAAAACAATCAAAAATTGAATGAAGAATTCTATAAAAGTTTATGCTTCTTGGTATCTCTTTCTTTTCCTTTCTCGGTTCTAACAACGATTTGATACTACGACGACGTGTATAAAAAGGAGGAAGAGGAGGAGGAACCTTTCCCGATGTCCTCGAGGAAAACGGTGTCGAGCACAGCCGTGGTTCGAATGAAACTGAAGGGAACAAGATATAACGTTTGAGAATTGAGCGTGGCTGAATTTCCGGACGCAGGGAGGCGCGCCGGTCAGTATCAGCCACAGGTTGCGCTTCTCTCGTTCACGCAGGCCAGGCATCTTCGTGGCCTGATCCTTCGAAAGGGTAGGAAGGGTTGGTATGTGCACCCAAAGCCCTTCCAATCTCGCTAGATCGAGACTCTCGCACCCGACTAAAAACCTACCCCTTCTTTCTACTTGCCCTTCCTTCTACTTGCCCTTTCTCCCTTCCTTTTCCCTTCCCTATTCTACTCCTACTCCTACTCTATCCTACACACACATACACAGATATCAACGACCCTCCCAACGACCATGAGAAATTCTTCGATCGGTTTTTCGTCTTCACGCTTTCCCGTATTATCGACTTTTACAACTCCCAGTTTCCATTCCTCTTTTGAAAACCTTTATCGGTTGTTCTTCTCATTAAAAATTGAATGATTCAATTTCTATGCAACCACCACCGATGGATGATAATCCTTTCGATATGAAAATCACGATCTAGATTTTATTATAGGATACGATCGATTGATTAAAATGATCGATTAGATTCTGTAGATTAGCAGATTTCGAAACTTTTTGGTTAAAACATATATATGTTATCGACAGGATATACACATATGTATATATATTTACAAGATACTTACATATATATATCTACATATAGATACGTTATCTTTTTTTCGATAAGTCGTACTTGATTTCATAGAGTTTACCTTAAAGGAATCTTAGACTGCAATACTATACATTAAAATGGACTCGGTGAGATATTAAAGTGTTTTAGTAATTAATCTAATTTCTTTAGAGTAATAAAAATGTTGTTCATTCATTTTTAAGATGTCATTTCATGGTGGCGTTACCTCGACGATCCTCTTTGAAACATGGCGAACTACCGATTGGACTGGCATGGGTTGGTCTATGGTGGGAATTGTTTTATTAACTATGATTTACGAAGGGCTTAAAAGTTATCGGTAAGCCACGTGATAATTATTTAAAAAACATTAATTTAAAAAATTATTTATAAAACATTGTTATCTTTCTTATTATTTATAGCGATCATCTTTTTACCTCTACAGCTTTAGAAAGTAAAAAAATAAAAAGGACCAGAAGGTATATACTTTACAATTATTTTTCTTTATATATATGTATGATTAAAACAAATGATGTTATTTTAGGCAGATGATGTTTTCCGTGATACATTTAACTCAAGTGATATTACATGTTAGCCAAATGATAATAGGATATTTCTTAATGTTAATATTTATGACATATAACGTCTGGTTGTGCATTGCTATGGTAATCGGAACAGGACTCGGTTATTGGCTTTTCTCTTGGCAAAAAATAGACAGTGAAAATTTAGATTGTTGCTCGTAATGAAAGAATAATTAATTTTATAATTATATAATTATTTCTACTGTTTTAATCATTCTTGTTTTTTTACTAATAAATTTTTATATCGTAACATATAATGAGAATAGAAACGTTGATGAAAGTAATGATTACAACGTAATAATAATATTATATTTATATAATAACACACGTAACATATATATTCTTTACTAATTTATGAATTCATATATAATTAAAAGATAAAATTAACGATAGAATCATAAGTAAGTAACAGTTCATAATATAATGAACAAAAATTAGAAATATATTAATGATTTTTTAAAAATATATGTAACATGTTTTGTTCAGCTTTGCTCGCAACTGTAAATAAAATAAATAAATACTTAATATCAGTGAATATCTTCTCTTTCTTATCATTTTTATCTTATCAGACCTTGTTTCTTATTTAAGAAATGACGAAACATTCTGTCGATCATTATCAAAGCGATTAAAAAATCCGGTAATACAATGTTACTCGTACTCATTGTCATTTATTGTTTGAAACTCGAACTTATAAGAAGAAATGGCTGACGATAAATCTGTGGAAAATAATAATCATCGTCACAGTATGGTCGGTGATCATTGCCGAAAAACAAAATCAACGAGACAAATCATTCTCGGCTGGGACAGTTTTAATTCGATATCATTCCTTGTATTGATCGTATTTTTCATCGTTTGGTGTTTGGCATATTTCATAGCTTATGTACCGGGTAAAAAAAATTCCGCTCACATGGGTAATGGTACAGGTGGTGGTGGTGGACATGTTGGACATGTTGGCTATGAATATTAAAAGGTGAGAAATGTGCGGGAAAAGAAAGATGACGAAATTTGACGAAGACAAAAATAAGATAATCAATTTCGTGAATCCCTGTAATGTAAGTATCATTTGTCTAAAAAATTAGAGAACATTACGAGATAAAATATTAAGTCTGCTTATATAGAGATAAATATTATCAATTTGTTAAAAAAAAAAAAGAAAAAAAAAAAGACCACTTAATTCAACGACAATAATAATTATTTCTTTTATTCCAGATGATAAAATATTTAATCGTTGTTTAATAGCCAACGTGTATGTGTATAAATGTGTATTAAAATACTTATTAATAAAACTAAACAATATACACACTGTAACCTATTATAATATCGTACATATCGTCATAAATCGTTCCATAAAAGAATATAAAAAATAAAGGAAAGTTGTATTTATATGGATTAGGCTGTTTTTCGATGCGGAAACGAATTGTTCTATCTTTGCATCTTTTTCAACAATACGATAGTTCTCTATCGATGTACGAAGAAAAAACTCTTGTTATCGGTTAAATCTAGAACAACGTTGTGAATTTCAAGGAGTTGAAAGAGATTGGAAGGCATCCTCGTTAGCCTCGATAACGAGACGGTTTAATCATCTGTTCGATGAGATAAAAATAGAAAGATAGAGAGAAAGAGAGAAAGAGCTTTTCTTATCACAAAGCAATTCGTCCTATTAAAGAATCATAGTCGAATAAGAAAAACGAACGAACGAACAAATTTACGTTTGGTTATCAAATCGTAAATGCATAAAATGCATGCACAGGTCTTATTATAATGATTAATCCTTTCGTTATTATGACGTTAATATCGTTGTTTACAGGAGAACATGGAAAAATATCCAAGAATGAAAGAAAGATAGATAGCTAGATAAAAAACAAGAGAGAGGGAGAGAGAGAGAGAGGGAGAAATAATTATACACAACCATGGAGGATCGTCCAGGAATCTTTTTCAATGGCTTACGGGCGAGGGAAGACAAAGAACGGAAAAGTAGGAGACCGACAGAAAGAGTCATTATGCTCGACGTGCCTACGATTGAAGAAAATCTCGCGTAATTTTGCGTTGGAGGATTTGCGGGTGAAAGGATTGGTATAGTTTCGAGGGAAGGAAGAAAAAAAAACTAACAAAGAAATCCTCTCTTTTCGTTGTCCAATTCAAAGAGGGAGAGGAAGAAAGAAAGAGAGAGAGAGAGAGAGAGAGAAATAAAGGGAAGCCAATGATAATCAGGAATACAAACGATTCTTAAAATATGACCTTATTTATGGGGAAAAATGCAAATAAAAAACTTACGTCTATTCGAATTCGTTGAATTGTTTTTTTTTTTGTATATATCGTATCTTGTATTTAGTTTGTGATATTTCAACTAACCCGGAAATATTTGAAACGGAATGTTCGTCTCGAATGTTTTACGTTGCCGTCATGCTTTCTGAAAAATGCATGACTCTGCTGCTGCCTGTGTGTGCACACAGAATTGAAAGAAAAAGGACGAAATGTAGATACATTGCACTTTCCTTCTCTCTCTCTCTCTCCCTCTCTGTTTTTTCTCTTTTTTTCTCTCTCATATGTGACTTTACAACGTTCTCTCGTATCCCCAGAGACAAGATTGTTGGGCAAAACGTCAGAGAGAAAACACCCTAAGTGTATAGGTACACATAGACACGATTTTTAATACGCCTCTTGCGAAACTGGCTCGCTCGCTCGTAGAATTTTATCAGCCGACTCGAATCTTCTTCTTCTTCCTCTTCTTTGCGATCACCGAAACCCCGAGTATTGCTTTTGGGAATTACCGATTCTCAGAGGGATTTCACCGAAGGCTCTCTTTTTTCTCTTTTCTTTCTCTCACAGTTTTTTTACAAAGAGAAAATGACAATGAGAGAAAGAGAGAGAGAGAGAGGACAAGAAAGATATCGTAGAGGGATATTCCCGAAAAGCTAAAACGATGGAAAAAGCATTTTCACGTTTGTGCTTGCGATCTTTCAGACTGTTGCGATGAGAAACGTATCTGCCATTGGTCGCGCTTCTTCTTTTTTCTTTTTTTTTCCTATGACATTTATAGTCTTCGTAAAATGACTTTATATTTATTTTTCAAAAGAGAAAGGAAAGAAAAAAAAGAACAAAAAAAAAGAACAAAAATTGAGATAAAAAGTATGAATTTTTAAACGTTCGAAACGATATCTTCATAAATATTTTCCAAAGGTAAAAATAAAAATGTTGCTTTAAAAAATATAACAAGGGATAATATAAAAAAAAGATAATTTACAATTTATTTACACGCGAAACTAAAAAAAAATATTATTATATATATAAATTAATAATTTAATAATTCAATAAAATATGTAACCGATATAAAAAAACTTTCGATTGATTTTTTTTTTCCTCTATTATTCGTTTATACACAATTTAATCTAAGCTTTGTAACTTATCCTCGGAAAAGGGCTACTCGAATTTGCTTGATCATACGAGTAAAGTTACCAACCACTCTAATTCTCATAACTTTCAACGTTACGCCCGAATGACAGGTGTTTACCAATGCAATTGGCATTCATCAAAACGAATGGTGGTGCATTTTCGTTGATGCGTCCTGCCCATGGCATATAGGATAATCGATCTTCACTTGCGGAATGCTTTCTCTTCTACTTACGAGAGGTTGTTACCTTTCAATCAACATTATAACCGTTCGATTTTGATATACTCCTGATATTTTATTCATTTACGATACTAAAAACTCTCGTTTAACCCTTTTTCAGTTGAATGTTTGGTAAGACTTTTCATTGATATTGATACAAAAGAAAAAGAATCTATTTCCATTTACTTTTTATATTTCTATTTATTAAATTTATTATTCCCATATTAAATATATTTCTATGAGATGATGATGCATATGTATGAGTCGTTATCTCTTAAAAGCTTCTTTCTCATGGGTAAAAAGTTCATTCTCCAATGAAAATAACAGACTAGACGTTTAGATAAACGATTGCGTTCACTTTATCATAGAAAAATATGAAATAAACATACGGTATAAACTCTTAATATTGAAACATGTTCTGTGGAATCGAATAATCAAGGGAATGGTGGTATATATCCTGGCATTCCTTAAACAGTAGATACATATGAGAGAGTAAGGGCTGGTCGATACCAAGCTCTGGGATACTATGATGTGCACTGTAAAGCAACTTTATATACGACGCTCTCTCTCTCTCTTGCGTTATTCGATATATTCACTGAACAGTAATTAAAAGCTCTCTGCGAGGGATAAAACTTAATGAAATCGACAGAGTAGAGATAATTAAAATTGTACCGGTTGGCAGATTCGGTTACGATTCGAAAGTCGTTCTTTCTTTATAATCATTATACAGATATAAAATTGGATTGAAATTGTAAAAGATCGATTTAGAGATCTGTATAATTTTAATGTAATTTCATATCAAAATTAAGATAATAGTAATATTGATCTATATGTATTGTTTGTACTTTACTTTTTTTATTCGACCGTACATCTAACTTTCAACTTTCAATCGGATAAAGGGCGACGTTCAAGAAGAATTCTCGTATTTCGATGGATGATCGTCTAATCACTTTACGAATTGTCTTCGTCCGTTGTTCTATCCGGATATCATTCGGTGTAGTTGGTGCATCTAGGTAAGCGAATGTTTAAACGTATGCGACCGGTCGATACCGACGTCGTTGGCTGCTGGTAAGCCTTGTATCACGCTTTTACTTCAACCCACCTCTTCGAAACACCCACCTAATAATAAGCTAGACAAGTAGCTCGTACCCTGTTGCTTAGATGAACCAATCTTTCTCCTACCTCTACGTCCCCGTAATCGGACAGTTAACGAGAGACTAGACTAATCGCATGCGACATCATCTCTAAATTTACCTTATAATCACCTATTATTTTTTATCTCTATTTAAGAATCGATATTTTTAATCTATTGTGCGTGCAGAAAAATCGTATGACGATATAGTCTCTCTCTCTCTCTTTTTTTTTTGTTCTTTTTTTTTATCTTATATTACAATTTCATAGTCAGAAGAAAATAATGAAAAAATAATCCCATTTGTTGACATCATCCTATAGTTGAATTTCCTTCAATCGGCGTTGATGCAGCACAGATTTGTTTTTTTGTTTCTTATACGAATCCCTTTATGATTGATTTTTTTTCGTACCTTTTTGCGAATAGAAAATCGATAGGAAAAGATGGAGTTTCGTTTAATCTTCAAATTTTTGTTTATCGTTTCGATAACGTGTAGAAATTTTCGATTATGTTACACCCAACACCGACTAATTTTTATTATGTACGAAAAAAAAAAATAAAAAAAAC